GTGCGACATCCTTCATGCGGGAGAGGGGACCCTCCGTGCGACCGGGGGGACCGTCTATGTGAGACCCTCCTTGTGGACAGAAGGACCGGCCGAGCGGAGACCCTCTTTGCGGACGGGACTCTCCGTGCGGGACCCCTGGTGCGGGTGGGGGTGCCCCCAGTGCGAGACCTTCCGGACGGGACCCTCCTTACGGCGGGGCGACCTTCTGTGCGGGCCCCGGTGTACGGCGGGGCGACCTTCTGTGCGGGCCCCGGTGTGCAGAGGGGAGACCCTCTGTGCGGGACTCGGTGTGCGGAGGGGACCCTCCTTGCGGGACTCGGTGTGCGGGTGCCCGGACCCTCCGTGCGGGCCCCGGTGTGCGGGCTCGCAGCCCGTCAGTGCAGAGAGCCGAGCCTTTGGCAAAGGCACCGCGAGTGTTTCCCGACGCCTCTTTCCCCACTCTCCGCTGGCAGCCTTGCCCTGACCCGCGCCTGGGGGCTCTGCTTCCCCTGCGGAGCGGTGCCTGTGCCCCTGCCCGGCCCGCACAYGGCAGCCCTGGCCAGGGTCGGGAGCTGCTGGCGGCTCCGGAAGGTCTGCTTCACTCCCGGGGATGGGGAGAATGGGGAGAAAAACTAATCAAACCCCCTCCCTCCCCCGGTTCTAATCCGAGATAATAATGCACTCGGGAAATTTTAAGCCTTCAGACAAATGACCCCAGGGGATGGCTTTGTGAATTCAGAGCAGATCCCGCTTGTTTCCTCAAGGCGGCAAGCCAGGAAATCATGGATTGATGAACCGCTTGACGGGCCTGCTAATGAAATTAGCAGCAGCTCCATGATTTTTTTCAGTGAGCAGGACAGGCAGATGTTGGAGGGAAGCTCACAATGGCACAGCTGCACTTGCAGGCTGCCTCAATTCCCGGCAGAGCGGACACGGGGCTCAGCAGATCCAGCTTTGCCTCTTGCCCATTTTACAGGTGGTTTCCCTGAGGGTCGCCTGGACATGGGGAGCACAGAGATGCCAAAGGCATTTGGGAGGAAAACCCCACTGTCAGGGTGTGCTCAGCGCCCTGCTCAGCCCCTGTGCAGAGTTCAATGCATGTGCCACGATGCATTGAACTGCCTTGTCCATATATTATTAAACATTTCCTTCTTTTAGCTCTCTCTCATTRCCAAAGATAGCTTCTGTTGTACAGGGAGTTTTACAGCTGCGTGTTGGGGATGGGAGATGTCAAATGGAGCAAATATATTGACTTTGGGAGAGCTCCTTCCAGGGGGAAACGTGTACTTCCCCAGGCAGCCACCCATCAGAACCGGGGAAGCTCCCTGACATCTGTAGCAGATGTTTTCTGCTATCCAGGGGTGCCTCTTCAGACCCTGCCTGCCTGTACCAGAGCTGCAGGAAAAGGACTGGCAYGCTCAGGTGAATCAGCCACTCTGTGGTACTGGGTTTCCCTCCCCTCTGAGCTTCGCTTCCAGGAATGAAATGATCGTCACTGGATGATACCCAGAAAAAGCTCTCTCATCGACCTCTGGGAAGAGCAAGTACCCATTTCACAGCTGGGGAAAATGGAGAGAGCCTGCCAGGASACAACGGTGATAACTGCTGCCTCCTGCCTGCCTGCTTTTTGTTTTTCTTAAGATGTTCATGAAGAGGCCATTTTGGTGGCAGTGAGTGAGTCCCAAAATAACCTCTTGTTAGGCTGTGGGCAGCAGGGCTGGAGACTGCAGCACGGGAGGCCATCTGGCTTTGCCCACTCTCCAGAGGTAAGTTAGGTCAGCAAGCTGCRAGCAAGCTTTGTAAGAGTTTGGACCAGGGGATTTAGGGATTGCAGAGAGGGCCTGGCTTTGAGCCTGGGGTCTGGCACRAAGCCTGAAGCACAGCAGGCTCAACCTGGTGGGAAGATCTGTGTGCCAGGGGAGTGGTGTGAAGTGCTCCAGTCTCACTCTGTCGTCCTGACCACATTGTGTCTCTCCTCTGGGCTAGCTGGACCAAAGTCTCTTGAAAATCAGGAAAGTTTGGAGGCAACTCCAAGCTCTCCAGCACGGGCCTCTTTTAGAACTCCCTAGATAGCTTTTCCTCCCCCAGCTCCTGCCTCCTCTGCACCCAGGGGAWCCAGAACTGCTGCTGGTGCTGGTGCTGCTATTCCAGGAGTGAGGCACTGAATGCAGAGGGCTGCTGCAAGCAAGATTCCACCCGTTCTCCAGGGGCTGGGATGTGGAGGTGGTGCAGAAGGTCACCAGCCTCCCATGCAGCTGTTTCCTGGAGGGGGAAATATCTTACCCACTCTCCTTTGGATCCAGGAGCTCTGAAATCCAAGCAGTGCCTGGTAGGAGCGAGGCTCCAGAGAARAGGTCCACACTGAGCTTGTTCTCCTGGTCCATGGGTGCTGCTGGGTGTGCCACATCCTGGGAAATGGCTGGAGAGGGCAGCCAGCACCCCCCTGCACAGGAGCACGGCCAGAGGGGCTTTGCTGGAGCTGGGCAGTGTGTGTGCAGTGTGTGCAGTGTGTGTGCAGTGTGTGTGCAGCCCTGGGGAGCACTGGAGGGTCCTGGGGGGGTGGGTTGGTGCTGAGCACCCAGCATGGCCCCGTTTGGTCCTGGGCAGCTGAGGCCCCTATCACCCCATCTTCAGTGGGGACTGGCACCATCCCCACGAGCACATCTCCCAGCCACGAGGAGCAGAACCAGAGTGATGAAGGCTGCTCTCCTCTGGGGGGTGGCAGGAGGTGCAGACCCACAYATCACACAGGTCCAGGTCAGCCTGTCTGTGCACTCCAGCTCACTGCTGGCCTGCCCCCCTCCTTCTCTCCTGTTCAAAACACCAGGGTGCCGCCTCTTTCTTGGGTAAACAAGCAGAAGTACCCAGTCCTTCCTCAATCCAAGCATGTGTTGCCATGACAGCAGCTCAGGGCGATGGGTGAGCAGGAGGTGAAGCCACCTCARCCATCTCCCTTGGAGGGATGGACGGAAGATCTGGGATGCTTTCCCAACACTCCTTCCCCCCCCTGACCCACCAGTTTGGGGCTCCTGGGGGTGAAAGCTTCCCAGTCCMATCATGGGGCTCTCCCAAGTGCCCTCCTCAGCCCAGCCCTGCATGTTCCTAAAAGTTGCCTTTTGGTCTCAGCCACACATCACGCTACATCTTCTGGACAAGAGAGTGGAGGGGAAGCACAGTAGAGGATTTAGGTTTATCCTTCTGGAGCCAGATAAAGTCTGTCACAGACAGCGAATCCCTCTGCCTGCTTGGCTGGATGGATTACCTGCGGCTGTAGCGGGATCTTTGATCTCCTCCAGCTCTGATCCCCGGGTGTGGTGTGGGATGGGGGCAGGGGGTGCTGAGAGGTGGCCACTGGCCCTCTGTGTGTGTGCCTGTGCTCGAGGAGGAGCTGCCCCAGTGTTTGGCCAGGAGGGATGGTCTGCAGTGGCTTGGGTGGGGCAGGCTGCTCTGGGGAACACAGGAGAGGGAGCAGGGAAGGAGCCTGCAGCCTGGAGCTCAGGGGGAGCCCTGATAACACCCCAGGGCAGAGCGGGGGAGATCCTCCAGGGCCCCTGCCCGTGATGTGGGTGCAAACCTCGCTGAGAAGGCTGCCAGGACAGTTTTGAAAATGAGAAGGTACTTTGTCACTTCTCTGAAGAGTTTTTGGAGCATATTCCAAGAAAAAGTYCTTTATTGCAGATTTCCTCTTTGCTTCTGAGTCCTCAAACGGGGATGATTCACTTGGGGACTCTGCTTCCTTTGTACTCCAGGCCATGGTGGCATCTCCTTGGTGTGTGAGGTCAGAGGGACAGGGACCAAGCTTTCAGTCACAGTTTCTGGCTCTTTGATGATCCCATGAGGACAGCTGTCAGTAGCTAGGCCAGACAGAGGATGTGGAGATGATGGCATGGGTACTGCAGAGCAAGAGAGTGACAATTTCTTTCCTCATGCGTGGCTGTGGATGTTTCTGAGTCTGTTCCCAGCTCTGTCTCTGGCACAGCACTSTCTAGATGCTCTCCACTTGCCTTGTCTCT